TTGTACGCAATCTCCTCCCCTTCCCCGGTCCTCATCCGCTCCGCCAACGGTGCCTTCAAGGCACCAGCAGTTCGTTGGCCCTCTTTGTTTGCGGCCGGGCCGAGGCGGACGACGCGAAGCGTTTAAAGTTAGGGTTTTACGGTTTCGGGTTTCGGGTTTAGGGTTAGGGTTTAGGGTTAGGGTTGAGGGCTTAGGGCTTAGGGTTTAGGGTTTCGGGTTTAGGGCTTAGGAAGGTTTAATTAGGGTTTCGGGTATTTGGGGTATTTGGGCTTATAAGCGGGCTTAATTATAGGATTTAAGGTTTCGGGTATTTGGGGATACCTATCCTTAATATATAATTGGTTAAACCAAAAAAATACGAACTACAATGGAGACTATAGGTAGGGTTTAGGGTTTCGGGTATTTGGGGAAACCCCTAAACCCTAAACCCTAGAAGCCCTACTAAACCCCTGAACCCTAAACCCTAAGGCCATGAGGGTTCCTCCTAGGGTTGCCTAATGTAGGGGCCTTAATAATGAGATAGGGTTTTGGGGCCCATTATACTAAAATCCTAGTAAGGAACCCCAGGAGGCCCTCCTGCTCCAGACGGAACTGTCGGAGGCCCGCCGCCAGGCACACGCGAAGGATGTCGGCGGCGATGCGCAGGTCTTGCCTGTAAGTTTAAGGGCTCCTTAAGCTTATGGGGCTTAGGATCGCACGATGGTTTAAGGCTTGGGGTTTAGAGACTTTCGGTGAGGTTTTTGTCAAGGAGTCTACGCTTGTAATGAATGCTTTAGGGTTCCTTTTCCGCTTCCTTTTTCAGGATTCCTTCGATAGATGGCTCCTCTCGGGTGCCTATCTGTGAGCCTGCAGAACCCCAACCTTCAGCTACCCACTTTTTGTAGGGTCCCTATAACTTGGCTATTAAGGTGTATAGTAAGAACCTACAAAAAGGGTAGGTTATGGTAGTTTAAGTTTTGGAAACCTTGTGAAGCTCTAATAGAAATCCTAAAGGCTCTTCCATCAAGCAACGAATACAAGAAAGCTTAAACCCTCATTTAGCCTAGACCCTAAACCCTAAACCCTATAAACCCTAAATTGGCGCAGACCCTACAGTCTACAGTCCTAGGCTCAGGTCCTACGCACCAGACCTTGGCCCTAAACTTTATTTTTAAGCGGTGGCATTTACCAGAACGGCGACCTCAGATCCTAAACCCGAACCCCTCAACCCTAAACCCTAAACCTTAAACCCTAAGCCCCAAACCCGAAACCCTAAACCCTCAACCCTAAACCCGAGATGAGAGCCCTCATCCCTCTTGGCCCTAAACCCGAATCCCTAAGCGGAATCCCTAATCCCCAAACTCGAGATGAGAGCCCCCAAAACCCGAAACCTTAAACCCAGAACCCAAAACCTTAAACCCTAAACCCTACGACCTCAACCTTAAACCCCAAACCCTACGGCCTAAACCCTAAACCCTAAACCCTAAACCTTAAACCCTAAACCCTACGCCCCAAACCCCAAAC